CCATCAGTATGGGAAGTCAGGGTCTGCACAAGAATTTCAACTGTCTAGACAGCAAGAAAAAATAATAATTGAAAAAAAAAGAGAGAGAGAGAGAGAGAGAGAAAGCAGACTTGACCTGGAGTTCATGGAGGAAACAACAGTGATGTCTAGGACACAAATTCTCTTTCACACAATAGATAAAAAACACCGACAACTTGCTGGTTAGAGGCTTGGCTGAAAGAAAAAAATATATAGTGATGGTGTCTGTAATAGGAGACCAATCAGACAATATGTGCTTTGTGGACTTCTAAGAGTCAGAATAAACCAACAGAGAGGGGATAAGAGGTGAGAAACAGATCTGATCCCAGTCAACTGTGTAAAAAATGACAGTATAAATTAAAAAGTGAAGCACCTCAAAAATGAAAAGGATTTAAAAACTTAGAAAGCCAAAAGCCCTAAAGACACTGCCAGCTCTGTAGAGCTCCAGAAAGACTGTGAGAAAGAAACAGGACCTGCTCAAGGAGCTGCTGAAAGATTGTATGTGACAAGAAGGAGGAAAAGCAAGAAAGGCAGGCCAAGGAAGGCTCGGGAAAGTCTTCGCTGACAGTACCACAATCTATTGTTCAAGGATGATGACAGAATACAGGTGATGGATTTTAGCCAGGAAAATGCCACTGAAATGTCACAAGAACCACTCCAATGAAGAGGAAAAAAACCAGGCTAGCAGAGAGGAGAAGGTATGATGGGATTTTTAGAGTACTGAAGGCAAAGCCTGAGACACACAGAAATGGCTAGAAAGTGAAGGAAAGGCATTAGCTGGATTAATATTTTCTACTTTATTTTTTTTTAATTAAAAAATACCCTTTATTCAATGTATTAGTAAAACTTAAGAAAAGCTGCTCAGCTCCCACCCATTTCTGCAGGGCTTGTCTGAGTTCAACTCATTCCAAGATGAAAGCCAGTATTAAAATTGTACCAGACACTTAAACATCTTCATTAAAAGAGATAACTAAAATTCTGTATAGCCAACCTTCAAACAACCTGAGCAAGTCTAAACAAAATTCAGCATAAAACATGTTTTTGCACATATTCTCTTTGAACATAACAAAAAATACAACTGGGGAGAACAGATCAAGGCTAGGGTTCTGAAATATTTTTACATGAAAGACAGAGCTTCATTAGATAATATAGGTCAGCCTGACACCCATCCCCTCCCCTAATATATAGATGTATTTTAACGTGGATCCATTTTACGTCAGAGCTACACGCGCTATTGACACAGCATTGACATCTCTGAGAACTGATTAGATGGTAGGATTGCATCAAGAACTTAGCACAACTGCCAAAACAGTGCCTTCCAGAAATCAAAAGCCAGCAGTTTTCCCTGTCCAAAAAAACAACTACAGTTTGAAACATAATGACTATATTCCAAACTGAATGCAAGTTTGGCATGCACTGCTGTACATTTCTAGCATATTTTTAGAGAGACACACACAAAACACATTAATTTCATCCCATGTGTGTGTACTATTTATGCATGTTGAGTTATCTTCATGTATAAATTATAACTTAAGTGAATAAAGCACCTTCATTGCGTAAGTTAAAAATATTTATGCTTCAAAGCATAAATGAAAATTAACTTCTAAGATACAGTCTAAAACTGTCTGGTCTAAACAAACCTCACAATAATCCACACATTTATTTACACAAGTACTGTTTCAAAATTTACTTGTCCTTCTTATCTCAGGAAACACCTTACTATTTTAAATAAGTGTTAACAATTCAAAGTACTTGAATGTATGTAGAAACTTTTGCTAAAAAGTGGCCAGAGGCTCACAGTTCCCTCCCTTGAATTTTCATGTTCTAAAATTTGTTTTTGTTCTCCCCTGGAACAAAATCAAACCATTCTGTATACCACAAAAACAGAACTGTCAAAACTTTTTTTTAGATCAAACTAGGCTTTTCTATTTAAAAACTATGAACGTCTACAATTTCAACTGTCTGCTTAAGCCCAAATCAGGCTTCCATATCTAAATAGGATGATTAAAATTTCTTTGGAGTAACAAAGGGGGTTTTTGTGTTGGGCTTTTTTTTAACTTATAGTAGACTAATTCTTTGTTGCTCTCTGCTACTGCAATGTCATAATTATCAGGTTGCACAGTGAGAATTCCTTCACTCTTTCTCAGCTTTGAAGAAACAATACACAGCACCAACATTTCATTACACTGGAATACTTCCAATGTGGTTTGGTTTAATGACATAGATGTGACTACCAATTTCTTGCCTTTGAAGTAAAAAGTTTCAGCCTTATTCATAGCATGAATGGTAAAATCTTAAGGATTTTCTTCCCAATTGCTTATTAAAAATGAAAATAAAGACAAAATATGGTTGTTGGGAAAACAACATATCATAAATCAAAGTCAAAACACAACAAGTCTGGTTCATCTCCTCTTTTACCAAATGATGTATCAGAAAAGGAAATTAAATCTAACAGTCAGCTTCTGCATGAGATCTAAAGCTGGGCTTCCTAATTTACTAAAAAGCACTCACACTAATTATCTAGATTTTGGCTCTAACAATAAAAAATCAGGGACGTCCTGGATTCTTCTCATCTCGATGAGGTAATCCTTCATTCACAGCAGGCTGTACCATAACAACACTTACACACGTACTGAGGCATCCCCTGCACAGCTAAGGCACACAAGAACTGCCCCCATAGCTCCTCCAAGCTCTCATGGTGCTGCTGTCCTCCAGAGCCAGAGGGTTGGCTCTGGAGAGACACAGACACAGCTCAGCATGCAGCAGCAGAGAGCGCAGATCATTACCAAATCCCTCTACACATTACTGGATTTCACTCCCTTACAATCATATTATTGGGAGAAAAAACCAGGATCTGATGAAACATTAAGAATTTCAAATACTAAAAGCAAGGAACATGAACCAGGTCAGCTACAACAAGCTGAACAAGTGCATTTGGTTCCCCTGACACCTGTCCCAGCCATGGTTTAGATACATTGTACCTATGACTGACCTAAAAGCTGCCCTGATCAGGAGAATTACTATGTCAGTCAAGTGGTCAGAGCTTTCTATACAGTCTGCTCTTCCTTAAAGTGTACATAAACTCTAAAATTACTACTGCTAAATATTTTGGGCAGGGTGTTGCATTCCTTTGAAAATATTTTGATTTTAACGGGCAAAATAACTAATAGCTTATAATCTTGACTCAGCCTCTGTGCCAAGCTACACTACAGTTGTGCTAACCTTACTGAATCCTTTGTCTTCAAGAATATTTCATTTAGTGACTTAGAATAATTTATTTTTTTCCTGCCACCCCTCAACACTATAATCAATATCCCAGTTCCACTGGGAGTTGAAAATGAATTTTCTAAAAATTCATGAAAATGCAAACCTTTTGCACAAGAAACCATTGTCATCACCATTAGAACTTGAGACTTCAACTAATGGAACAGAGGCTCAGGACAGTAAAAGACAATTGGACTGGACAAAATAAAATAAACCAACTCCAGCCTCTGCTGCTAAAGTAGAGGGCTGGGAGAATTGTCTAGACAGAAGTCTGAAGAATCCTCTCCTGACTGGGAAGCTACTATCAGGAGCCTCAAAGGGGGCTTGGATCATTAGTGGTGGAGAAGAGGACCAGTGAAGAGTCAGTGGGATTTACTGGAGGCTTTTGGTGACCTTTGGTGTTCGAAGAGGGTTTCAGGAGGTGAGCAGGTCTGCAAGGGCTATGATGGTCCAAGACAGTAGCTTAGCAGAAACTGTGGGACCTTACAAGCACCTGAGGATAGGAACTGCAGGAGGCAGAGGTTAGATGTTGTATGAGGGGCTGGGGGAGATACTTCAGGTCACCTCAAACCCCACAATCCCCCTCACTCCACTGAAGGGGGTCTCCAAATGAATGCCCATTCTTCTGCAGGAGGAGATCCTAGTTATCCATATGACTCTCCACAGCTGCTGCCAAAGAAGTAGCAAGGGCTATGGCTCTACTGTTCACTGTGCAGGGGCAAGGGCAAGGCAAGGCTAAACTGGTGGCTGTGGCTGCTGGAAGATGGAGAGAGTAACTGCTGTGACTGGGAGAGGCTGCTCTTCAGCAGTTGCCACATGTGTTGACAGCTCACAGCGCCTGTCAACCAGAAACTCCAGGTGAGGATAATTTATCCAGACACACTCAAGCTCTTTCTGAAAGATAGGCAAGATAAACATGGGGTAGAAAGCTGGGAAGGCTTTAGTATCTTCTTTTGAAAAGAAACCTCACTGTATTGCAACCCCGGGCAACTGCTTACTTCAGAACCTCTCATTCAATATCTAAAGTAACTCTGTGGCAACAGAAGATCAGCACTAAGCTGTACTGGGCAGCATAACAGGCTTCTGAGATGGATGGATACCTAATTGCTACCAAGTTTTTGAAGGCAAGTCAACAAACATTCTTTTTAGTTGTTTTCCCCGATACTCAACTGATACCCTTCCCTTCAGGTTATATTTGTTGAGAAAGTCACTGCTGGTATTTAATTTAACATTTAACAACAAAAGCTTTCAAACAAGATTGCAGTGATTTAAAGACAGTGAACTACCATTAGTGAAACCAAAGAAAAAAGCAATCCTGCCCAAAGATCGGGGTTCTACACAAACGCGCAAATAAAGTTGTGTTCCTAAACATTCTTGTTTAATGTATTGCGCTTAACAGATGGGTTGCGGTGCCTCTGCCTAGGGTTGGGAGAGAAAGTACCCTGCGGTAGGAAGCCACTGGAATGAAGGACAGCAAGTCCCAGAAACGCCGGAGGCCGGCTGCTGGAAGGAAACAGGGTTGGATAGGCCAGTCAGCACCCCAAAAACCGGGTGACAGGCGCACGATCCGCTCAAACACTCCCAGCTCCGACCAGGGCCAGCCTCCCGGCACACCAGGGTGGGAAAAGTGATTACTCATGCCGCCGGAGAGCGGGGCAGCGGGAGCGGGGCCGAGCCTCACGACCCCTCCGAACCGGGACCGGGCTCCGCGCTCCTACCTGGGGGGCCGCGAAGGCGGCGGCGGGCGGCGGCCCGCGGGGCCGCGTCTCCTCCTCCTCGGGCGAGTCGTCCAGCAGAACTTTGCTGCTCTTGTTGAGCTTCCACATGGCGGGCGCGGGGCGGCCCCGCTGCGAGCCGGCAGCGAGCGGGCCGAGGCGGGAGCGGGCGCTGCTCCGCAGCCCCGGCCGGGGCGGCTGCGCTCGGCAGGGCTGTCACCCCGCCGGGGGCTCCCGGCCGGCAGCGAGGGAGGGAGGGAGAGAGGGAGGAGCTGCCTGGCGGCGCCGGGAGCCCGCCCCCCGCCGCCGCCTCGCCCACCGGCCTGCGGATGGAGCCGGGGTGCGGATGGAGCCGGGGTGCGGACGGGCGGCCCGCGGCGGCGGCGGGGCGGGCCGGGCCGGGCAGGGCCGGGAGCCGCCGCCCCCGCCGCTCCTCACCTGCCGCCGCCCCCCGCCGGAGCCGCCGCCGCCCGCGGCCGCCGCGCCGCCGCCGCTGCCATGTTTGCGGGGCGGGGGCACGGGCAGGGGGGCGGCCCGGCATCGCCGCGGCAACAGCACCGGGCCCGCCGGCAGCACCCGCGGCTCGCCCCGCAGCCCCCCGCTGGCACGGGACGGGGTCCCGGGGTTAAGGAGCCGCCGAGCGCCGGCCGATGCTGCGGAGGGCGCGGATGGTGCTGCCCGGCCGCCGGCGGCAGCGGGATGGCTGTGAGGGTAACGCGGGGCGCTCGGAGCTGAAGCCGGACCTGTCCGGGCAGCGGGAGTAGCGGCACCCGCAGAGCGCCACAGATGGCCCGACAACTCTGCAAATGGTCCTGGCGCAGCGCCGTGTACCCTGCCCATGTGCCTGCCAGTTTATCCACCCGTGTGCCTGCCAGTGCACCCACCTGTGTGCCTGCCAGTGTACTCACCACCATACCCACCCGTGTGCCTGCCAGTGTACCCAGCTGTGCACCCACCCGTGTGCCAGTGTGGCCATCAGTGTGCCTGCCAGTGCACCCAGCCGTGCAGCCCCGCGCGTCACCGGGTGTCTGTGACGAAGGACAGGCTGCACCGCCAGCCCCCCAGCCTGGACCACGGGCTGCTCCCCGTGGCCCACAGAGCCCTACGGCCAGGGTGGAAAAGCCTGGTGCATCCAGCTGGAGTCCAGTGAGTGCCAGGAGCTCCCAGTTTGATGGGTGAATGATCCAGATTTAATGCCCTGTGAACCAGCTGGTATTTTCATTGATTCTTTGTTTTCAGACAGATTTGCTAGGATATTTTCCATTAAAATCCCTACTCCTTTATCCATTATTTTGATCTATGAATTAGGCTCAGATGTCCAAAGAACTGGGAAACCACTCTAAAAGTACCATTTTTGGTTGTTCTCTTGCTTAATGCTGCTATGATTTCACCAGTGAAAGGCTGTAACACTCAAGGATCCCTCCTGACAGACTTGCAGGCCTTGCTGTGACTGCCTGATCCCTTGGGGCTGAGCAGGAGCAGTCAGGGAGCAGTAGGGCTTTGCTGAGGGTTTTTTGGCTGCAATGTGCTCCTACCTGTTTGACTGGAAAAAGGCTCACCCCGGGCAGGAACAGCAGCTCCTGCAGGGCTGCCTGCTGCCTTCAGCTCCCATCAGTGGCAGAAGGACACCCACTGATTCAAGATTTTCACATCAATGAGAAAAGGACTTTTTCTGTCATAAAATGTCCTGTGGAAGCTAACCTCAGAGGCATCATAGTTTTAACTATAAATTCTCTTTTGTACTGATCCAGGATCTCTGTAATGACTTAGGAATGCTGTGTAGCTAACTATAATTTGTAGCTGACTCCACAAAAGATACATTCACTTTCACTTGGACCTGTAACCGCAGCATTTACACCAGTGCAGTGTTAACTCTCTGTCTTTGAAATGAACTTCACAAAATTATATCAATGAGCATAAAGCAAGTGAACAAGTGTTTGAAGGACTCTAAAAGCCTTTAGTTTTGCAATAAGTGTTCAAACAAAGTCTTCTTTATCTCATTTTCAATCCCCTCTCTTGTGAGACTAAAAGCTACTAAAAAGTGAAGCACAGAATTTCCTTTCACATCTTGCTTGCATTAATATTAACTGAATCTCAAGAGGGTAGGAGACAAAACACATTCTCCATTATTAAAGACAGATCAGGCTTAGCATGGATTTCCTCTAGAAGGCCAAGTCAATTTATAACTAGTTCTTTGACCTCTCCTTCAAATTTATAAACAAAAGTATTTCTAAGTTATATTGGCAAATGTTTGTGTAACTCTAAGTAGAAAACAACAATTTTATTTTATTTGAATTTTGTATTTAGACCTTGAAATGATCAAGTAAGTTGTCACCATGTGACCCTACTATTTTAATCCAATGCCTTCCTTATGCTATTTTTCTTATTGCTGCCTGAAACACCAGCTCTACCATTGGGCTTAAATCATGGAAATACTTATGATTCTGCTCAGTTTTAGTCTCACTAAGAAATTCACACAGCATTCCCAAAACACAGAAAATTAACTACATGCCTTTGGTCTTCATTTTTTATTAATTTTAACTTTTTTTACCCTTAGGTTTTCTTCTAAGATCTTGAACTTCAGTGTGAAAACTTGGCTTTACTTTGGTCGCTGAAAATCAATCCAGTTGACTTTAGAGAGGTGAGAATTCAGTTCACATTTTCTATTTATCTTCAAGACCCCAGGGCACGGCTGAGTGTTATCTCATATTCTTCTGAGAAGAATATTATTTTCTGCTGATCTGTTTTACAGATTTGGGCTTACAAATTTATTATTTCCTTTTAAAATTAATTATATACAACTAATAAAATTTGTTTTTCCAGATTAAGAAGCTGACATCTGCCAACTGGATGTGGCTACAGTGAAAAAGAATACAAAACACTTAAATACAAAATTTCTTCCTCTAAGAAACTATATTATCATGTGTCCCTAAGTTGTATTCAGGGGAAAGCTGTGAAATCCTGTGTTAGAAACTTCTTGCATGGTGTTTAAAATGCTGTGAACATCTTCATAAATATCATAAGAAAAATTGATGATTTGTCTTCTGAACTCTGATCCTGACTCCCTTAAGGGAGCACAGATTTGGGGGAAAAAAGTGAGAGAAGTAACAGAAAATGCAGCCTTTGTCTCTGACTCCCAAGGAGTACTGAGCTGTTTTGAAAGCAAAGCCAGACAACATGGTTTTAGCAGCCACTTCATGACCTGGCAAAACATTATGCTGCTGAAAAATATGTTTCTCCTTTCCTCTTTTACTCCAGGCTCTGACCCAGGAGAGAAAAGGATGGAGTTCCTTTGCTGGCCTAAACCAGGCTCTCAGGAGACAGAGAGCAAAAATGAGAAAAGTGAAGAGCAGTAAGGAGGTGATCCCCTGTATCATCCCACCTAACTCCATGACACTTAGTGGCTTTAGCATTCTTCAGTGACTCCAGGCTGCAGGACCTTTGCCAACCTTGCTGTGGCTGCATGAACACGACTGCAGTGCTGCTGTTCCAAGCAAGACACAAGAACAGCCCCATGTTGTGCTAGAGATGACACATCCAGCACTGCTGCCACCACTGCCAACCTTCTCTGCTGCCCTTGGTGCTCAGACCTTAGCCAGGCTGTTGGAGACCATGCTAGAAGGATGAGATCTGCACTTCACAGCCACGTTAGGCACACACCACAAGCATTAGGGAGACATCCCTCTCCCCCTGCAGGGACCCATTGTTAGCCATTTCATGGTAAAAACTGTCTTTATAGCACTGTGCCAGAATACAGCACAGGCACTGCAGTATCTGTATATCCACTCCTAGATTCATACCCCCATGTGTTTTCCACCTTCTGGACACTGATAGTGCCAGAGTACCAGTCTGGAATTTATCTCATGAAAGTTTAAATGTCTAGATGTCATATCTCTGTTATTCTCCCTTTCTAACTTGTGGATAGCAACACTGTGTTGTTTTGCCTTTTTCATCTTGGTTTCCTAGAGTGTTTACTCTGGACATCTACCTACAACTGCATCTAAGTTCACAAAAATAAGCAGTACCAGGGCTATCTATATCTTTTGAACTGCAGAAAGGGAGGAAGATTCAGCAACTACTAATACCAGAGTTCAGGGCAAAACTCTCTTCTTCCTGTTTTCCCCCATGCTTCCTAGCAGTTCCCTAGCCAGCTTCAAGCTAAAACATATGTGTTATGTATGAGAAAATACATATTGTGTGATACAATAGAGTTTTTAGGAATATGATTTCTGGATGACTACAGTACATGAGTTCTGCAAGTCATCACGAAGTCCAAGCTCACTCAAATGCAATACTTACATTTCACTTATATATACATAGGTGTGTAAGTCACATTTATTACATAAAAGCAGTTCTAGACAATTTGAAAAATGTTGCATTCTACTCTTTTGAGATTTTAGTATAATTCTTATTTAAAACAGAACATAAATATTGCTGGTTTAGGAGCCAGAAAACACCCCAAGATGGTCTAACCTTCCTTTCTGAACCCTCAAGGTTTACCAATAGAAAGGTGAGATCCAACCCCAACGAGGGAAAGGAAATATTCTGTTTCTAGCCAAACTCCATTCTCATTGATAGCAAACCCACTTTGATTTGAAATACTGACATGTATAGCAAAGCTGTTTGTGGTTTGGCATGTTAAGTTAGTGAATGTAGGTTTTTGTCCAAAGAAAATGGGTAAGAGAGAAAAGCAAAATACTTTTGGAAAATAGAGTTATTTTAAAAATTGACAGCTGGTTGAATCAACTGTAAGTCAGTTCAAGAAATACCAAGAGTCCTGGAGGAAGCAGATTATTGTGTGCAAATGCATGCTAAATTAATTTATACTTTGTCATTACGATTTATTGTAGAGATTTTTTTGTCCCCAGGGATGACATAGCAAAAATAGAAGAAGGCCAGAACTGATGACAAAGACACTCATACATGGAAAAATACTGTTATGAAGATAGATGAACACTGTGCTTTAAACCAGAAGGAAATGGAAAAAATGTACAGAGAAAAAGACTGGAAAGGTGGATGGAACTAATAGAATTGCTTCTTCTCATCAGATATAAACAAGGAAGCATCCATTTAGACAAAAGATAATGCATTTATAACTGAAAAAGGAAATA